GCCATGCTGTGTGCGCAAGCACACAATCTGCACAAGCTCAGCTTTCGCACGCCCACCTTGTACTGCACACGCAATCACACAATCTGTGCATGTGCATGGTTTTCACACATGCAATGCACACACGCGAATGCCATCTGTGCATGCGCATGCTGCACACCAGTACTCTTGCACGCATGTGCAAATGTGCACACAAAATGTGCAGGAGAGCTGTTCCAAAGAAACAGCTGGGTCCCCTGAATTGCTCGCATGCGCACCAGAGGCCCAAACACCAGCTGGAGCGCGTGTGCATGTGCAGCTGCTGGTGAGTTGGGTGACAGCTCATGTGCCCGGAAAAATGGCTCTGCGTGCCACTTCTGGCATGTGTGTCATTTATTTATTTATTAGTTCAATTTATATGCCGCCCTTCTCCAAAGACTCAGGGCGGCTTACAATGCAATTATAGCAATAGCCTTCATTCTTTTGTATATACCTGCTTGTTAGGGCTTTTGGCCCCCCATAAGCGGTGTTTCTACAAAGTCATCTTATTGCCCCCACAATCCGGGTCCTCAATTTACCTACCTCAGAAGGATGGAAGGCTGAGTCAACCTTGAGCCTGGTGAGATTTGAACTCGCACTAATTGCAGGCAGCTGGCAGCTAAGTGCTACATAACAGCACTTAGTCTGCAGCACCACCAAGGCTCTTCAAGGCCATAGGTTCACCATCAAGGGTCTAGACTCTGCTTAAAAATCTCCAGTGATTGCCCACGATTTCTGAAGGCCAGCTGTTCCACTGGTTAATTGTCCTCACTGTTAGGAAGTTTCTCCTTAATTCCAGGTTGCTTCTCTCTTTCATTAGTTTCCATTAGTCTCCAGGCTTTCAGCAACAGCGACCTCAATTTTCATATTGGTATAACTTTCTGCCAACCCATGGATGGAGGGGCGAATAAGGTTAGCAGGTGATCGATCTTTTTTCTCCTTGTCTTCTCCATCTGGCAGGAATAAGCCTTACAATGTATTTCCAGCTTTTTGAGTATCTTAGGGTTTGTTTGTTTTTTTAAAAAATGGATTGTTTTCACAACAGCTTGACAACATTCAAACATTTGCATTATGATCTCATAAATTATATATTTTTTTTTATTTGCATGTCAACAAACTCAACTGTCTACATACTCCTGGATTGCAGCCCCTTCAAATCTATGGTCACTGAGGTTTCTGGATCACTTCACTCATGTTTCTATTTGGAAACATGATTTGGAAAATTTGGAAAGCACATCATTGCCAGTTCTGTACTAATAGTAGGGTTTGTTTCTATAAATAAAGATCTGTTGGAAAAATATTGCGATAGAAGAACCACTTTTTCTGATGCCAGAAAAAGTAATTTCGTAGGCATGTAGGCCTAAGTACTTTTTTAAAAAGTTTTTCACTACTTTTTGTTATGTTATTTCCTCCTTTCCAACTGTCTATAGCCTTCTTTGCTTCTTCAGATATCTGGTGACCCCCACAGTCATTGTGATCACTATGACCTTCAAGATTGTCCAGAAAATGGTGAAGAAGCCCATTCTCCCTGTATGTTGGAAAGCCGCCTCTTCCACGGGTGCTTCTGGGGATGACGGCTCAGTCACAGGAGAAGGCTCTCTGCTCTTCAGTTTCCCCCTTTCCAACGGAGGAGCTTGGTCCTCTGACGAATGCAGTCTAGTTCCGGGGTTTAAACCTTTCCATTGTGGAGTTCTTAGTTGGTCTTCAAGCTTGCTTGGTTGTTTGCCTGCAGATATTTCATTACCCAGCTAGGTCAGATCATCAGCACCAAGAACTTCACAGTTCCCACCCTGAGTGACAGATATTCTCTATTACATTTTTTCCACTTTGGGGGGAGATGCATGTGGAAAATTTCTGCTGGTAATTTCTCATTGAAATTGTACCCAGCACATTTCCCATCAACCCTTATATTCAGTTCAGAGCATGTTTACTTAACACAGTAGCAAAAAAAATAGCTCGATGTTTATTTCATTAAAATGAGCAAACTGCAAAATGGTTAATTGGCAATAGAAAAATGAGAATTCAGAAATTCTATTTTAGCATTGAGAGTAGTTACATATCAAACATTTAACAGCAAAATAGACACAGAAAGCAATTTAAAAGAGTCCACAAAAGAGAAAGGAATGTGTAAAATCTTGGCTAGATCACACAATACGATTTTGATCTGCTTGTAATTTCAAGAAACTTGCTTATAATTATTTACCTCTTTCACAAGTATTGGGAAAACATAAATATCACAACACAGAAGAGGACACAGAAAAGAAATAATACAGTCCTTCATTAACTTTTCCATATATTCCTCTAGAAAACGGATCTGCTTTGGAGCAGATGTTACTCTGTGGCAGTTTGCGCCATGGAAAATCCAGCTTCCTGAGGGTGGTGGGTAAATCCCACTATTTTCTGCCTCTCCTCTAGTTAAATGAAAATCAAACCAAACCTTTATTTTGGTCATAGCTTAGGACTCTGCTCCAACTATTTCAAGAGCCTTGGTACTACAGGGGTTTAAGGCACCCTGTTATTAAGCTTATTAAGACCAGCTGCCTGCAATTACTGCAGGGTTCGAATCTCGCCAAGGCTCAAGGTTGACTCAGCCTTCCATCCTTTCTAAGGTAGGTGAAATGAGGACCCAGTTTGTGGGGGCAATAAGCTGACTTTGTATAAATATACAAAAGGATGAAGGCTATTGCTGAGCACATTGTAAGCCGCCCTGAGTCTTCGGAGAAGGGCGGCATATAAATCAAATTAAAAAAAAAAAAAAAATTTCTAGTGACTGGTTTTAAAAAAGAAAAAATATTCTCCTGATTAGTAGAAAGGGAGGAGTTGGGGAAAATGTTGCATATTTGCCCAAATTCATGTGCTTTTGGTTTTAATGGCAAAGTTTCTCAATTTCCTGTCAGAGGAGCAGCTGTCAAACTTCTGTCTGGGGGTGTGGAATGCCACCTTCATCATACATCGACTAGCGCTCAGCGTATGGAAATAAACAAGAGGGTGAATTCTTAGAAGGAAAAAACCAGTGTGACTTAATAGGTATGGCAGAGTCCTGATGGAGTGATTGCCATGACTTGAGCACCTGAAGGATAAGATGCATTCAAAAGGAACAGAGGACAAAGAAAGAAGAAGTTGGACATGTGTGGTAGAGTCCCACTCCTGCTCCGAATCCAAGTCAATGAACTTGCCAGCACTATTGGGAGGGATCTGGAGTGCCGTAAACTATACGCAGTCCGGCTGTTGGAGTCTAGTTTCCCACCCCTGCCCCCCAAGATGAAGAGACTGTGCAGCTGCTGCCTTCCCAAAGCAAATTGCAGAGCTTTCTGCGAGGCAGGGAGTAGTCACAGGGATGGGAGGTTTGAATTAACCTGGCATCGGTCAGGAAACAAACTGGCAAGCAGGATCCCTCCAGGAAATCCCTGACTTTCCTTCTGCGCCAGAAGAGAATAACCAACCTTGACGTGATGCTAATCAACAGGGAAGACCCAGCTGAGGAATCTGAAGAACAGGAAGTCAGTAATAAAATGAAATTTTAAATTGACACAAATCAATCTAACCTTTGCTCTTTCCTTCTGTTAAAGTTGTTTGTACTATTTTGCTATGGTTAGGAATTAGGAATTGTTAGAAATTCATTCTGTAAGAGAATTGTATCCTTTTCTATCTGGTTTCTCGCGTTTGTAATTTGCTTCAGAGCTAGGCACATCCTTGGAGACAGTTCTCAGGAACATCCTGCTCCATAGATAAGGGGAGGGAGGGCTGCCTAGGAGCCCAAACACACAAGGACAAGGGATACTCTGTAAGATAGCAAAGCATGGAGACAGGGGCCTGAACAAAGAACGCTTTAAAGATCACGTTGGTGGCAAACCTTTGTCTCTGATTGGATAAACTTTGATTCTATCGGCGTAAAATGTATATAATACTCTGAGCCACTCTCGCAGGGTGTGGCTATTCCTTACATGTTTTTGTCTGTGTTTTGGAAATAGTAGCACCCATCTCTTTTTTGCTTTGGCCAAAGAATAAAAAAAAGCTGTTGTTTTTGCAAGCCTTGTCTTGAGTGTCAACTCCCTTTGGCATCTCAGTAGCTCGGGGAAACTTCTGGGACCTTACTCAGGTATTCCTGGAATAAACCTATTTTGAGGGAAAATAAATGTGAATATAACATATTCAATAAATATGTGAATAAACATTTGGCTGGATTTTTAAAAAACAGATTTTAATGAAGTCAAAGCAAAAAGAAATATCTCTTAGCAAGAAAAGCAGCTCAAGGTGGGTGGAAGGCAGTGGTAAAATCTAATTTTTTTTTATTACTGGTTCTGTGGGCGTGGCTTGGTGGCGTGGCAGGGGAAGGATACTGCAAAATCTCCATTCTCACCCCACTTTGGGGCCAGCCAGAGGTGGTATTTGCCAGTTCTCTGGACTACTCAAAATTTCCGCTGCCGGTTCTCCAGAACCTGCTGGATTTCACCCCTGGTGGAAGACAATATTATAAAATATGCAATCATAGTGAAAGTTACGATAGAAGAAATCAAATGTGGCTTTTTGAAAAACTGAAGTTCTGAACACTCAAAGGGGCCATACAGGAAATAGACAGCCAGATCAGAAAGGGAGAACTCTAGAACTATGGAGCTGGTGCCAGGAAAATCTCTGAATGAACTGAGGTCACCAAAAACCAGATTATGCTGGATTTTATTGATACCTAGAACTCTATGTTGCATCAAAATGGAATGACCAGCATGACTTAACTATACAGTTCAAGTTTGTTCTTTATATCCTGCTTTTCTACCAATACCTTTAAAGTGATTTATTTGCAATGAAGCTCAATGCACTGCAACCCCTTGTGTTTAACCAGTGGAAACTTACTTTCAAGCAATATCTTTTTGCCTAAGGATTCATTACTGAATATGGACAGTTTTCAAGCTGACAACCTGCTTTTTAGGCCTGAAAGACCCATTATGACACAACCCATTTCAGCAAGATGATACACAGGAGTCAGCAGAGGAGAGAAGACAATGGCTTTCAGTCAGTTAAGACCACACCAAGGTTTTATAGTGTTTGAAGAATTCTCTCCTCACTGGAGTTTGAGAATTCTCTGTGTTTGAGTTAACATTTGGGTGAATTTGCTGTCACCTTCAGGCGATTTCCTGCATTACTGCAGGAACAATATTCCACTTTAGACAATCTGATGACTACTACCCAAACTTTTAGCCCCACACAGCTAAAATGGAAGAGAAAAGCAAGAAGAAAAGGCGCCATTTGATGCTGGTGTTCTACTGGGTGAAGAAGAGGGTCCCAGATAAGAAATTATGTCCCACATCTGACAATTCATATATATCTTCCTCCACTTGCAAGGAGCCCCATGTTTCACCCTACTTCACCAGGAGCAAAGCAAAGCCCCCTCATCCCAGGAGAAGCACCAGGTATAAAGTCCCACCTCAGGAGAAAACGACCATCTATTCAGTACCTTCAAAGTCTCTTCTTGTCCGGAGGAAAACCTACAGGCGTTACAAGCAAAGGAGGCCAAAGAAAGCAAACACAGAGGTAAGAGGGAAAAGCAGAAAATGTAAAGAGGGAAAAATGAGGAACTCTTGGGAACTATTGGAACTGAAGTCCAAACTAGTTGCTGGGTCATAGATTGGAGCTGGTTTACAGGCAAAAGAGAGAGGAACGTGTTAAGCCTGTCATTTGTGGTGGTTGAGTTTGCTTGCTTGTTCCTCTTTCTTTCTTGGGCTCAGACAGCCATCACTGTAGTCCCAGCTTCAAGTGAAGCTACTCATCGTTTTCATGGACCTGGGACTCCCTTCTTCAGGCTGCTGGGCTAGATGGCCTTGGGAGGGGAAGGGACAGGGAGGGCACTAAGCACCACCCTGAGTCTAAGAAGGCCAAGTGACTGCACCACTCCCCACTCCCCCCCCCAGATACATTATTTTGTTTACCTTTTATGGGCTAAGCCTATTTTAAGGCTTCTGTGATAATTTCACGGCTGCGGCCAGTTTAGGGCAATGACACCACTGCACTGCAGGTATTTTCCTCGCTTAGCAACTGCCTAGGCAGCAGCCATCTGTAGCTACAATGGTGGCGAAAAAGTAACTTAGTGACTGACGGCTGTATTTATGAGTTTTGCAGGTCTGTAAATCAAAGAAAATCTGAAGTAAAATCAGTGAAACTGCTTTACTTAATGACCAAGTTTCTGCCCCCAAATGCAGTAGCTAAACAAGGACTGCTTGTAGTCAGAGCAATTCCATAGCAAAGCTTTGCATAAAGCTACCATATCTGGGACACAAATTCAGAGAACGAATGGAGACCTCTAACTCTTTGCTTCTTGGATGAGAAGTAAAAAGGAAAAGGAAAAGGAAAAACATAGTTCAGTTGCCTTTTGAAAAAGCACTTTTGAAAATATCACAGGTTTATCATTTTACAAAGAGGGGAGTTGCAAAAAATGAAAATTTAAATGATTTTCATGAAATCATTTCATGAAATCATTAGGAGCCTTGGTGGCACAGCTGACTAAGTGCTAATTAAAGTAGCACCAGCTGCCTGCAATTACTGCAAGTTCAAATCTCACCAGGCTCAAGGTTGACTCAGCCTTCCATCCTTCCAAGGTAGGTAAAATGAGGACCCGGATTGTGGGGGCAATAAGCTGACTTTGTATAAAAAAAAAAAGAACACCGCTTAGGGTGGGCCAAAAGCCCTACTGAGCAGGTATATGCAAAAGTATGAAGGCTATTGCTTAACGCATTGTAAGCCGCCCTGAGTCTCCGGAAAAGGGCGGCATATAAATCGAACCAATAAATAAATAAATAAACAAATAAATAAATAAATAAATAAATAAATAGTCTCCCCAATCTTGTCTTGATCTGTGACATAGAACAATCTAGAAGGCTTGTATTATGGAAAACTGTTATAAATTCTAAAAGAATAGCCAAATTAATCTGTTGAAGCCAAAGTGATGACTCTTTAATTTCTCAGTATTGTAAGGCCTGCTTACATTGAACAGCTGTTCCATTTTTTTCAGCGACTCTTCAGAAAGCAGATTAACACTTTGGCACTTTTTATGATTGCTTTAATTAGATTACTATTAGCCTGATCTCCAAGTTAAGTAGTCCAGAATAACCTATTCAAGACTCTCCATTACTTACAGCAAAGCCAAACAGTACAATGTACAAACAGTACAATGTTTAGGGCTTCTCCAAAACTGTAAACCAAAGTCAGAAGATTTTTGACTGCCCAGACTTGCTGAAGTAGCGGTCAAGCAGCTTTAACTAGCGTAGTTGGTTGGGAGGGGATAACGGGAATTGTAGTATAACCACATCTTGGAACTTGCAGGTACTTTACCCCTGATGTAAATGACTCCAGGGTCTGGGTATGTGAAGGATTCTTTCCATCTTCATAAGACTGCCCAGATCTTAAAATCATTGATGGATGCTCTTTTCGGGAAAGTCTCTCCATTTCTCCTCTGCATCATGAGTAAGCAACGCATCTGATTGTCTGTTGAATTTTGTTCAAGAATTAACATAATAACAAGAGTTGGAAGGGACCTTGGAGGTCTTCTAGTCCAGTCCCCTGCACAAGCAGGAGACCGTATACCATTTTGGACAAATGGCTGTCCAATCTCTTCCTAAAAACCTCCAGTAATGGAGAATTCATAACTTCTGAAGGGATGCCATTCCACTGGTTAATTCTTCTTACTATTAAGAAGTTTCTCCTTAGTTCTAGGTTGTTTCTCTCCTTGATTAGTTTCCATCCATTGTTTCTTGTCTTGCCTTCTAGTGCTTTGGAAAATAAGTTGGTCCCCTCTTCTTTGTGGCAGCCCTAGTCCTTCTTTTCAGTAGACTAGACATATCTACCGTATCTTGAGTCTATCTTCTGCGGTATTGGCTATCCTGCCAGCTTGAAGAATTCCCCTTCTATTCCCTCATTAAAATCATTTTATGAAGATATAAGACAAAACCTTGATGTACTCCACTGCTTACTTCCCTCCATGTAGGTGTAGTCCAGGATTACATATTGAGTGCAGTTTGTCAGCTGGTTACAAATCCATCTGGTGGAGATGCTGTCTATCCCACATTTTTTAAACTAAGAAATAGGTTGTGATCTATTTTGTCAAATGCCTTACTGAAATCCAAGCACATATGCCCATAGCATTTTGCTGATCCACTAATTTAATCATGTCAAAGAATGAAATAAAATTGGGTGTGGCCTGGGGGCATGGCCAGCTTGATGCCACTCGTGTGGGTGGTGCCTGTGGGGACCGGGTGGGGTTGGGGAAGGAATCCATGGGTGTCGGATGGGTGGGGCGTGGTCACAGCATTTAGTTGGCCTACTAATTTAGTCACTTTGTCAAAGAATGAAATAAGATTGGTTTGGCATGATCTGTTTTTAACAAACCTGTGCTGATCTAGTTATTACTTTACTCGTTTCTAGATGTTGGCAGATCTGTTTTTGATAATCTTTTTCAGGAGCTTCCCAGGTATTGATGTTAGGCTGATTGGTCTGTAGTTTCCTGGGTCTGTTTCCCCCCCCCCTTTTTTTTTTTTTTTTGAAGATGGGAACCACATCAGCTCTTTTCCAGTCCTCTGGTAATTCCCCGGTGCGCCAGGATTTTTGAAAGATGTGGTACAGTGGTTCTGAGATGACATCTGCCAACTCCTTTAGAACTCTGGGATGTAATCCATCAGGTCCCGGTGATTTATATTCATCAAGATCAGACAGGATCATACCCCCCCCTTTTTTTGCTTATTTTAACTTTTATTTCTAATTGGTCTTTTACAGTTGTGTTTTTGGTAGGTTGGGCTATAGCTTTTGGGGGAGGGGGTTATGTGTGAAGACAGATGCAAAGAATGAGTTAAGCAGCTCTGCTTTCTGTCTCCTGCCTGTTACTTCCTTGCTGTCTTCTCTCTTTAATGGACCAACTGTTTCCTTGATTTTTTTTCTTGTTATTTATATGTTGAAAGAAACTTTTTAAATTATCTTTGACTTTTGTTGCAAGTCTTTGTTCATTCTGAGCCTTTGCTTTCCTGACTTCGTTTTTGCAGATTCTGGCTATCTGCTGATATTCTGTCTTAGTTATGTGTCCCTCTTTCCATTTTTTGTCCTTTTCTTTTTTGTCCTTTAGCTTATAAGAGAGATCTTTGTGCAGCCATGTTGGTTTCTTCTTGGATTTCTTATTTTTCTTTTTCAGTGGTATTGTGCTGGACTGTGCTTTTATAATCATATTTTTCACAGTTTCCCAAGATTCTTGAGTTGTCTTCCTCTTTAAGATTTTCATCCATGGAATCCTTCCCAAACTGTCTCTAAATTTGTTTAATTAGCATACTTTTAAACTGTATATAATCATGAAAGAACTTCAAAAAGTTCTTCCTTGTAGGCAATTTTCTCTGCAAAAACTATGTTCCATGAAGTTGGTGTCAGCTCTTAACAACCACATATATAGAATCAGCTCCAGGACACACTGACCCAAACTTAGGAACAGCTTACCTCCCAGAGTTGTGGGTGCTCCATCGCTGGTGGTCTTCAAGAAAAGATTGCATACCCATTTCTCCAGGATGCAAGGTCTCCTGCCCTGGGCAGCCAGTTGACTTAGAAGACCTCCAAGATACCTTCCAGCCCTATTCCAAGGAATATCCATGTGCAAAAGAAATTAAACAATAAAGGAGCTAATTCAAAATAAATAGCCTGCAGATTGTAGCATTAATGAAAGATAATTCTTTTTGCTAATTAGGGTTATTTTGAGATATTATAAACAGGGATTATAAATAAGTACCATACTTGTATTACAACTGTTCCAACAGACTGTACCATAAGGCATTGTAAGATGAGTAGAGTAATTGAAATGCCCAGAGGAAAAAGCAACAAGAGTCATTGCCAGTCATTGCTTGATTTGGAGAAATAGTTGACAACCACAGAGGAAAAACAAAACACTACACACATTTTAAAAGATTATTGTTTTAACTTGACCACCTAAAAAACCTAAATGAATATTTTAAGATTTAAAATGTAATTATTTCTGCCAAAAATATATGCAAAATAAAATCCCCCTTCTGTTATTTTTGTTCACACTGGAATTCCTGGCTGATTTGTTTTTTGTCTTTCTATATTCTTTTCTACAATTTCTTTTGTAACAAATTTTCGACAAGCTAAATTGTAAAAAAATGTTTACATCCATCTGGGATAGGCTTCTTATATGGAGTCCCTTTGTGAGATAAATGGGCAGTTTCAAAATTTGATAAATAGTAGTAAGTGAACTGGTTGGGATCAGACTATAACCCACCAGCCATTAAAGCCTTAGTTGACAATAGCAGGGGTTCCGCACATAATTAAGCTAAAACCACGTAAACCACATGCAGTGCTGGCATACTGCATGAGCTCAACCACAAATTTCTGAAGTTGGAATTACTAATTTGATCATTGACATCAATACATGCCAACTCAAAACCTCACATCCAGCAGAGAGATGTCTTCCCCTCCCACCTCTGGGTCATTTATTGTCCAACTGATCTGTTAGGAATTCAAATGGACTATGCCTTCCTGTACCTTAAATTCATGATCCTACATTCTGGAATGAAAGAAATCCGGTCCTGACCTCTTCCTGGGTGTCCTTTTAAGTACTCATGGAGATTCCTCACTCAGCTTGCCCACAACAGCCCTCTCAAAGCTACTCACACTCATCTCCCTAAATCTTCTTTTTGGTTCTGTTGGCCAAGCACCAATCTGGGGTTTGTTTACCCAGCGCAAGAGCCAGTCAATAATGCAGGGCCTAGGAAAGTGGAAATGTATCACTTTATCTCTGATCAGAGCAAAGGGGCTCTCTGTAGGAAAGTAGCTGGGAGGAGCACTGAGCAGGACTGGCATTCTGTTTTTATACCTCAAGATACAGGAAATTCAAAATAGCAATACAATGATTGGTTACAAATTTCTTATCAATATAGCAGATGTATAAGTAATGTAGTTCAGTGTAGAATAGCACTGTACAAGTCATGCTTGTTCAGACATTCTTAGCATGACCTGCTAAGAAACCTAAACCCCTGCTGGCCCCTCAACCTAAGCTGCAACAAACTGCTAGGCGCACATCCTGTGCACCCTTGGCTATGGTTTCTCTGCAGGGTCTGCTTTCAGTGTTCCTTATCAAGTGTGCAACTATTGTTCTGATTTAGCTAAGCTGCTGGCAGCTTCCTGTTCTGACTCTCTATGCAAACAAGACGAAAGACTGAAAAGAATATGTTCCTTTTTAAATGAAGTGCTTTCAAGGTTGGGAACTCAGGCCCTCAATCCTTTGCTCATGCTTGCTGCACGATCCATAGGAATCCACAAGGAATCCACAGGAATCCACCAACTCTGCTACCTTGCACTGAAGTACAACCTCAGGATGCAAGCACAAAAGAGCAGAGCTTGCAATGGAGGCTTCTTCACTTCCACATCAATGTGTTAGGAGGAGCCAACACACAGTCTGAGCTTTTCAAAGCATGGTGCCAACCGCTGGGCAGGCCCTGGAGGAGTACTGAATTCAAAGCTCCCTGGACCACCAAATCCCGGCACTAACTGGCCTCCAAAGCCAGAGCCACAGAAAGCTCTGCCTCGGACTTCCTCTACCTTCCTATTTTCTCTGAAAGCTTCAGCCGCTGGATAGCAGCCGGGGCTTTCTGCCGCATCATTAAGAAGAGCTCTTGGCTCTGTCGGGTCGGGGATGTTCAATTCCTGCATCCGGCCTTCCGCTCCCCCGTCGCCATGGTAACGGCAGCGGTCCATGCCTGGGCAGGCCGCCTCCGACCCAGCCTGCCTTGCGCGCGGGCAAAATGGCGGCGCCCAGCCCAGGGCGCGCTTTCCCCTTCCCGGGCTCTCCGAGCGAGCATCCCGCGAACGAGGAGCCGCCGTCGGAGGAGAAAAGGCGGAAGAAGCCGCCCTGCCGGGCTTGTACGGACTTCAGGAGCTGGATGCGGGAGCAGAAGAAGCAGGCGGGCCCGGTGAGGAAGTGGGTGGCCGGGCTGCTGGGGCCGAGGCGGGCTGGGCTGAAAGGGAGGGGCACCGCTGTGGCACGGCAGAGGTAAGCTCCTTTCCCCGCCTCTGCGCTGAGGCGGGAGGTGGGGGGGTTAATAGACCTTTGGCCCTGAAGGCTGGGCGAGAACTATCGCTGGTGGCCGCCAGAGGGCGCCCCCGGGACCGCTCCATGGGGATCCAAGCCCGCTCATTGTCAATACGGGGGGAGGGGGGAATACCGGAAATCTCATAAGAAAATAAATAAGCTTCTGAGGTGCTCTTTTATCCTGCAGACATAAAAGTTCCCTTGTAGATCTCATAATTACAGGTTCCCCGCATTTGTCAGGTTCCTGTCCGAAGGCTGCCATGGAGGGAATTGGGGAGGCATCAGAAATAACTGACAGGCTTTCTCTTCGCTGTAACTGCTTGGGAGCTTGAGGTTCACACCATTTCCATCGACATTTCTGCGCCAGGCCTTCTCGGTGAAGTCAAAACACCTTTGCGGCAGATGTTTGGCTAGCGATGGACACAGTGGGGCATTGGGGTGGGGGCTGAGGGGGAAAATTAGCTTTACGCTTGGCACCTGATACTCAGACTCTGCCTGACGTTTCTGCAGTCACTGTCTCTCAGTAAAAGTTCCTTCTGAAATCTGACTGGTTTCAAGAGTTTTGCTTTCTTGGGAGAGGAGTTGCGGCAGACCCTTCCACCCTTACTCCTCTTTGCCGAATGATATAGGGGCAAAGAAGCCAAAAGGTAAAGGTTTCCCTGTCCACTGGTGTCTGACTCCAGGGCTCAGGGTGTCTTACTGAGGGAGCCAGCGTTGTCCATGGTCATGTGGCCAGCATGGCCATGTGCCAAAGGCGCATGGAATGTTGTTACCTTCCCAGTAAAGTGGTACTTATTAATCTACTCACATTTGCTAGATGGGGGGAGGATAGGAGCTCATTCTATTGTGTGGCACTGGGGGTGTCCCCAGTGACATGAACTGGGGGGTGACTTCATGTCACTGGAATCGTAAAAAAATAAGCATTTCAAATGCTGCCAATTTCAGTGGAGGTAGACATCTTGCAGATAACCTTGCTATGGGAATAAGCCTTTGTTTGTGGCTTTTGTTCGGGAGGATTCTTAAAAGACAATATAGGGACATCCTGAAACAGGACTGTGAGAAGAGTTTCCTGAATCAGAGGAGGAGGAGAAACAGGAAGTAAACTTGCCTGCCAAACTTCAACTTCTCGGAACCTCCACCAAGAATCTCCTGTATTGTGAAATTTGCTTAAGTTGTTGCATGTATTGTTAGCATAGTGTGTAGGCATTTTGTCTGCCTTCTCTCACTTGTACTGTGTTCCTCTAACTAGGAAACAAATGTCCAGGAATCAACATCTAATTGCCCCCTAGACAGAGAAGAACTAGGGAGATGTTCGTGGTCATTTCTACATACGATGGCAGCATTTTATCCTAACCGGCCCAGTAAAATTCAGCAGCAAGAAATGATACAGTTTATCCAATTATTTTCCAAAGTTTTTCCTTGTGATGAATGTGGAGAAGATTTCAGGAATAGGTGAGGGGTTTGGGGTTTTTTTTGAATGTCTGAAATTTATGTATCCTTTATCTTAAAGGAATTAACTTTCTGCTATGAGATGGTTTAATTTTAACATAGTAGAAACTCTAGTTCTGTGACTTTTTTTTTCTGTTAAAATTAAGCAGACTTGTGAATCTTTTAACAATGAACTATCAAAAAAGTAAAGGTGAATTTGCCACTATTATCTATATAAGCTACTCATGTGCTTAATGTTTCTTTCATGGAAATATTTACATTAAGTCCGAATTGATGTCATTAAACCCCAATCTTGAGTCTAGTTGTGCAAGATCCAGATAATTTGTTCTTTTTTTTAATGACCCTGTAATCCTTTCATTTGGGGTGGGAGTGGGGCTACTGAATGGAGCTGTTTACTGAGTTGTACATGATCCAGGTAATAAATTGCTACAATACATTAAAGTGCATTCTTGAGTGTAGCAGAAAGAAATCCATGATGGGGGTTAATCACATTTCACAAGTATTGCAGCTGTATGTTTCCAACCAAAACCTTGTGATGAAGTGAGGTGGAGTTTAAAATAAAATGGCAACTAATTGCATTTGGTTTCCTTTGACACAGAATACAAAAAAACCAACCTGATGCGAGCAACAGACGTAATTTAACACAGTGGTTTTGCCAGATTCATAACGAAGTAAACAAGAAGCTGGGGAAGCCTGAATTTGACTGCTCTCTTGTAGACCAGCGATGGCGAGATGGATGGAAGGATGGATCCTGTGATTAGATCTGCTGGATATTTTTCCAACTTGATTAAAAAAAATCAACAAAACACCCCAAAAGCAATCCATTATGGACCATTAATGGAGACAAAATTGTGCATTTGTTAATGGAGGTGATGGAAACAGGCAAAGGGCTTTGATATGTATTTTCCATTTCTGGTTTTGAAATTTTAATATGGATCTCTGTAATAATTTTCCATATGGACCCTCTACCTGTTGATTGTGCTGTTTTCCTGACCACTTGAATTATTTCAAATACCAGCAATTGCTGCCTTCAGAAGCCTAGACTATGCTAGAAGAAACTATTCTGAACATGAAGACATTGTGCTTTCTCAGCTCAGTACTGATTTAATCCCTGGAAATCTGAGATGGCCCATCTGCAACTATTTGCAGCCTTCCCCTGAGCACAGCATCATTTGCCTTCATTGTGTTGCTTGCATTTTTGTGTTGAGCAGATTCCCCCCCCCAAACTCTACACTTAATTCTATTTTTTTTAAAGTGCTACAGTATAAATTAGGTCTGCTTACTTTTCTGCAGCATAGAGCCCTGCAGTAGAACAGGGTCTCATTTAAGGTGTGAGCAAAGGGTATCCTCTTTTTATGTTCCTTTTGGCCAGACTCATAAAAGAAGACAATCTAGATTAATTTACTTTTGATTAATGAAATAAGCCATAGAAATCATGAGGTCATGTTATATATCAAAATGCACGGCTCTTGGGATTGGGGGATTGTGAAGGTTGTATTCATTCCTCAGTAAATTGCTGAGTTCCCATTTCAAGTAAGTGTTCTTTTTACCTATCTGAACTTGGTGTGTCTCATGACCTGGAAGCGGAAAACAAGTGTGCTCTGAGATACCACCTTGAAGGTGAATCATGTTTGTGGTAGAGCAGGTTGGCTACAATAAACTACCAACAGTTGCCTTGTGAGGAAAAGCAGAAGGTTGGAGTGAATAAATATGAAGAAAGTTTTTCATTTCAAGTTCTATTTTATACCACAATATATAAGATCACCAATGAAATCAAAACTGATTAAAGAGATAAATGTGGGAGACATTGATTGTTCAGAGGTAACCATGTTTATATATCAGTTTTTGATAACCTACTTCTAGGAAGAAATTTATGGTTTGCAAGAATTTACTTTCTTTTATCTGAATATGGGAAACTTTGGCTTGGATATACAACATTTAACAGAAAAGATAATTATCAAACCCTGTTAATTATAATTATAGATTGATGAATTTATTTCTCGGTGTCAGTTCTACTTGAACTATTAAATTTGGGGATCCTACTACGAAAAGATACGTTAACCTGAATATTTTCATTTTACAGAGGTTGGTTAAGGTCCAGGTTTATTGCCCAAGCAAAGCAGGTCCCTTTAATTAATGCAAAGTGAATACACATGCAGATAAGCAAAGCACAGTGAAGAACAACTCTTCCGGTCTTCTTTCTCTGTTTACTCTGGTTCAGTATCTGAAAACTTGCAGCAGAGAAATAAGGCTGGTGATTAAATGGCATCTGGTCCTTGTCAAAGGACCTTCTTAGAAGCGTTTAAAAGGACAGCCATGCCCTGTGGCCATGGATTTGGCAAGCACTACACAACTCTTACTAAAGTTAAATGGATGTTTGATGAAGGAAAGGTCTAAGGTTTTGCATCTAAGATAATAAAAATCAAATTTCTGTTGGCAGATGTGTGGTATGCTTTTCATTGGTAAAAACATTAATTATTTAAATGCATTTGATGAGGGCAATTTTAAGTGTGTCTCAGAATTTATTTTTGTGCTTGCTAATCAAATAAAAGTAAATATTCATTTGTTTTCCTCGCCATTTTTTAAAAGAAAAGTAAACATTTTCCCAATGTTATATAGTGTTGGAGTCAGGATATTACTGTATCTCTTCAGATAATATTTATCATTCAAGGATGATTGATGTACCAAGTTGAAAACAAACTTGCAAGGAATATCAAGCAATAGGATGGATAGGCTGAGTTGGAAAGAAAACATCTTAGACCTAGAAGATGACAGTGGCAAATTGCTTCTGTACCGTTGGCAAGAAAACTGGATGCCTCGCTTACATCCCCAGGAGCTGTGCCTGATCTGCAGGAGAGTGACTTACAAAAAACAGTTTTCCCAAATTCTCCATATATAGTGCGTTCAGACCCCCTTCACTTTTGTCAATTTTGTTATGCTACAGCCTGATTCTACAGTTGAAGTTCATTTTTTGCTCATTAATCTACACTCAGTACATCATAATGACAAAGCGAAAACAGATTTTTAGAAATGTCTAAATTTATTAAAAAGAAAAAATTGAAATGTCACATTGGCATAAGTAGTCAGACCTTTTGCAACAACACTTGAAATTTAGCTCAGGTGTCTCCCATACTTTGAGCATTAGCGTATCGGCATCTGAGCCTTTTATGGCTGACCTTGCATTTGCTTCCTAGGGCCCCTGTTTTATATCTGAGTTCCCCTTCTTTCACACTACAGTAGGTAGTCCTTGATTTATGACCATAATTGAGCCCCAAAATTCTGTTGCTGAGATGGTTGTTAAGTGAATTTTGCCCCATTTAATGACTTCTTGCCAGAGTTGTTCAGTGAATCACTGCAGTTGTTACGTTGGTAACACAGTTGTTAAATGAATCTGACATCCCCGTTGACTGCTTGTCAGAAGGTCGCAAAAGGGGATTACATGACCCCAGGACACTGAACTGTCATAAATATATGCCAGTTGACAATGTCCAAATTTTGGTCACATGACTATAAGGATCCTGCAGCAGTCATAAGTGTGAAAAACTGTCATAAGTCACTTTTTTCACTGCCATTGTAACTGGTCACTAAATGAATTGTTATAAATTGAGGACTACCTGCATTGGATTGGTTGTTTTGGGATTAGGTCCTAAAGATTAGTCTCCCTCCCCTTCCAGATTTAAAGTCCTTTGGCCAAACAGAGCCAGTGGCTCTCCAATAACGCCCTTCCTGAGTCCTGTGAGGTGCAGTCCCTCCCCCCCCGGGAAGTTCTCACATACCGCTAAAGAGACTTAAATACAGTAACTGGATCAGTGGGGATACACACAGTTACAGCTGATTGGTTGGATTGTGCTAGCTCCTGCACTGTAATTGGTTGCTGTGGGTGTGGAGGGCCTTTTTCTTCTTTTTCTTCTGTGTCGTCTGTGTGCTCTATGATTTACCTTATGATGTAGGGACGTGCCTGACTATCTAGTTTGCTGTATATATAGATGTAAAATATATTTATTTATATAAAACTAGAAGTTCATGTCAGCGTCTCTGACTCCATTTGGACACCTGCTGTGCAATTCCCTGTCACCTTGCATGCCTACTCCAAGATTACAAATTAAGAGAAAAGGCATTTCTTGGCCTTGAGCCTCTGCTTCTTTTGAAACAGCCAGGCATCACGTTCACTTTGTTTGCAGCTGCATCATTCTTTTGGCTTATATTCAGATTGTGATCCATCAAGATACTGACGGACTGTCTGCCAAAGCAAAGCAAGGTTATGGCATACACTTGAAATGAACTGGGATGCCTCTAATTGTGGAGTCTGTGTAGTGAGAACAAAAGAATGCTTATTTGCAGGGAATACACGTGCGTGTAAAGCTTGTAACAATTCTGGGTGGTTAAAAAGCTGATAAAGGTAACTAAGAGTTAGTCATCTTGCAGACCTCAGCTAGAAATTAGGAATATAGATGGCCTGGAGCAAGTAAAATGTGTATTAGATAACTTCTGAAGCATTCATTAGCCATGGCTTACTATTAGTGACGGCTAGAATAGAATAATTTTTTTTTGAATATTTTTTTTATTTTTTTAGACATACAACATAAAATACATCTTTTTAGAGTAAATATTTTATCCGGTATAAAATAGGTACAATTACTCACATTCCCTCAACCAATTTTGTTCCAAATTTTTCCATTTACATCTTTAAAAAAAAGAAAGAAAAAGAAAAGAAAAAAATCTTATTCTAAACATTTATCTTTCTACTATATCACCCAAAATTCTTAACAATTATTTCCAAACAAACACCATTCCAAATCTTTGTCATTTTAACAACCAATACTTCATATATATTCCTCATTCCTAAGACCCATTACATCAAATCTATATTCTACTTCTCTTAAATGGCAGCTAGTATCCATGATCTTGACAAAGAATATTTTCCTCCTCTCTTAAAGTCATTTCAAAATCAATCAACATTTCCATCTATAATTTGTTACTCCCAAAATACTTTATTTCGTTTACTTCAGGCTTGTTCTCTAATACTAATAAGTCTGAATTTAAGTCTGATTCCTAATTTAAGTAGCTATTTCCCAGCGGTATTTTCTACCACTTCTATCTCTATTTGTTTAACTGGTTCACAGTTTGGCTTAACTATTCTCCGGTATTATCTCCTCCACTTCCTCCTAGGTTTATTTTTTGACTGGTTCACAACTTAATCAGCTGCTTTCCAGCGATGCTTTTCTCCACTTCTAACCGTACTTATTTAGGCTGGTTCACAATATAATTTTAACCACACACTGACATTACCTCCTTCACTCCTCCTAGATCTATTATGAAACTGGTTCACAACTCAAATAGTTGCTTTCCAGCAATGCTTTCCTCCGCTCCAACCCCTATTCTTAACTGGTTCACAACTTTATTTCAGTTGATCTCCAGATATATTTTCCTCCACTCCTAACTTTTTATTTTATGGCTAGTTCACAGTTTTGCTTTAACTGTTACCCAGTGTATGCTTTCCTCCACTCCTAACTCTATTTATTGGCTGGTTCACAGCTTTACTTTAACTGTTTTCTAGCACGTGCTTTCCTCCACTCCTAACTCTTTTTTTTTTTAACTGGTTCCCAGTTTTGCTTTAACTGTTCTCCAGCTTTCTTCCACTCCTACCTTATTTGTAAGAATGGATCACAGCTTTTCTTTCACTGTTCTCCAGAATCATGCTTCCCTCCACTCCTAACTTCATTTGTTTAGCTGGTTCATAGCATTTTGCTTTAGTTATTGTCCAGCTTTATGTTTTCCTCCATTCCTACATCTCGGCTTGTCTTTCGTCTCGAGCTGCGAACATAATAAACCACCACAAGCAGGGATGAGATTTCAAGGTTTACTCAGGTTTTTGTAGATTCACAGCCAAAAGCAAAGCACAAGTTGGTTGTTTGGTTCAAAGTCAGCGCTGTGCGCAACTGCAGCACAACGCTATTTATCACAAAATTAACCCTCAAACTAGCATCCGGCACTTAATAGACCAATAAACCCCCCCTCCAATCAGCTGTGTAGCAGGTACGGTGATTCTGATGGATCCTGATGTCATCAAACACTGCCGACAGCTAACGTCACCGATCAGGAACTGAGTGGGAGGCTGATGGATGTGTGTGCCGCACCATTTTGCGCTGGCCGTCTCACTGCTCGGCTTCCTGTTCCACATGGGCAATGTCCTGGCAGCTTCTCAGACCCCCCCCCCAGCAGTAGGACTCGACAGGCGGCTCCCCTCTACCAGGAGCTTACCTGTAAACAGAAAGTGCAGATGTTAAAGTAACAGTAGGACTCGACACTACATCTCTTATTCAGTTTTTTAACTTTAAATTAATTCACAATGTATTACCCATATTTATCCATATCTTTAACTAATTTAAAATAAGAATGTATATCAACAAATATCTTAGCTCCTATTCTCTCATAGGTTTTCTCCCATTCCATGCTTATTTCTTATTTTCTATAAGAAACAACATTTTAAGTCACTTTAAAATCAATTTTCTATAATTATTAAGTCTGTAAATAGTTCTTTTTAATATCCAGCACCTTGAAAAACATTTTCTTCTAAATTATTAGGTCTGTAAATAGAGCTTATTAAGAATTCAAAATTCAAAATTTAAAAAGGCATTAGAACATCCAAAAATCATGTTTTTCAATCATTTGCAAATAATCATTTGATTATTTTCTAATCAAATTGTTTGTATATTTATAAAATCCATTTCAATAAAAATAATAGTAAAGAAAGAGAGAGAATTATAACAATATAATAGTTAGAATAAAAAAGAAAAAAGAAGCAAAAATAAAGAAAGGAAAGAGAATAGAAATATGACAAAAGAGATTGAAAAAAGAGTTAGAAAAAGTAGAGAGGGGGAAAAAACAAAGGAGAAAATAAAAAACTGAAAAGGAAACAAAGAGAGAACAAAGAGAAGAAAGAAAGAATCTCCTAACTTTATTCAAACTTCAAACATCCAGACATCTTTACATCCATTTAAATCAAACTGTAGTATTTTGTTATCTTGTAACATAATATATTCCATTTTTTTTTCTTTCTCCAATCTGTCTAAGTATATTTCTTTTCCATTTCAATGTCATCAAAGTTATAAATTCTATAAAATTCGTTCTGGGTTAGCTATTCCATATATGGTATCATCATGTCCTTCTTTTATTGCCACGCCCTTTTTCTCTTGTTGCCATGCTTATTAGTTCAGTTTTCATTATTCCATTTAGTTTCTTCTTTCTGATCTTCAATAAATCCTTCCATAGACAGATTATATAGCCAAAGTCAAGCCTCCTGAGTTTTTTCTCAAAATAATCCACTTTAAGTAACAAGCAACAAAGTTTCTCTTTCAAGTAACAAGCAGTCTGGAATTTACACTTTCCCTTCTCAGATGGCAACCATTTTGTCCATTCCCGTTTGTCTTTTGTCTTTGCTTTTAAAAGCATATTTATTTCCTCTTCTCTTTCCTCAGAAAAAAACCCCAAATCTATAGTGAAGTCATTTCAAAGAAGTCAGTAATTAACGCAATCCATCAACAGGTCTTTTCCTTCCAGCATTTCTT